ATGTTGATGATGAACGTAAGCTGACGGCTGCAGAATTCCAAAGCTCGATGGAGAAACACCGGATCGTATAGAGCTGCTTCCAAACACATAATTCTTCGAATGAGTCTCTGAAAAATAAAATGAGTAGGTACTATAAAAACTAACTCTCTTCGTCTTACGGAAAGATCGCCTAATCCAATTGTTGATAAACTGAAATAAAATTTTTAGCAAAAAATTTTAATTACTGAAAGAATTTTTGACTGTGTTAGGAAAAATAATAATTTCCATACTATTACGCTAGTTTTTGAATTTGTCGAGTAAATGGATATTGGTCAAAAGTTTGTTAATAATATTTCCTAATAAAAGGCAAATGTAAAAAAATCCGATTTCATACTCTCAGTCGATTATTCATCATAAATATTACGAATTCCCAAAAGTTTAAATCATCGATTGAATCACAAGTATCATAAATGAATGCCTAATAAACATGAAGTAACAGCTTTCTGCATAAGTCCAATCGCGCTCCCATATTTTGAAAAGTCCAGCACATAGGAATATCCAACTGAAAGTGATTCCGATAGCTAGAAGTACAGGTATTCGAAGTGGTGGATTAGGATTACTCAATATCGTATCATCATCTTCTATCGTCTTTGCATCTTCTCCTTTTATCGAATCTAGAATTGCCAGAATTCAAATTCTCTTTAACGTTTTAAGAAGTGTCAAATTTTATATTCTAAATTTTATATCGCTTCAGTTTTTTCATATTCAATGTCATAAAAAATATTGGAAAGATATTATGGTATAATTTATTTTTAACATTTGTCTTCGTTTACATTGATATTAAACTATCTGCTTACAAAATATTTATAATAAAGCCGAAATAAACAATTAATACAACTTACCTTCGTTAAATTCATCGCCTATGTGAAATTTCGCATTCACTTCACAATTATCACTATTTTCAATTTCACGTTCAGCATTATTGTTATCGATGGATATGCCACTTTCAAGTTCTGCCAAATCCCTATTGTTTTGTTGAATTGTTGTTTTATAAGTTTTACTACCAAATATCTTGCATCGTCTTGATGTGAAATGCATCAATCGAATTGAATTGATTATTGCTTTATATAAAAAGTTGCCAAGATCACGAAGTGTAATAAGCATTAGTGGAATACCAACGATTGCATAAATTATTGTCATTAGTCGACCACTTGATGTCATACATGCTACATCACCATAACCTGTTTGAAAAATTTTTTTGATTAATAAACTGTCATTTAAAAATTATTTTCTTTATTTTAATTTTGCACAAATCATTCCTCAAAAATGATTAGATGAAAAGAATTACTTTTGTTGTGTTACTAAAATTTAATTTAATACCGTAAAAATGAATTGTTGGAATATTTCGTTTAAGTATTTCTTTCAAAAAAAAAAATTGCATAATGCAAATATATATTCTATCACTAATTCTCCTAATAACCTTTGAAACAGTCTCCAAAAAAGATAATAAAAATATAACTGGATAAATGATAAAATTAGTTGGCTACGATCATCTGATTACTATACTTTCTATTTATTTCAAAAGATTGTTGCAAAATTCAACAATTGATTACATTCATTTATTTGTTTTATTAATTTTCAAACCAAACTTATCAAAGTGATCAAATTTTACTTACAAAATTTATATGACGTATCTATAAAAAAATTAAAGTTTAGTGAAATTAAAGCTTTTTATAGTATATTGATACTATAGAAGTTTTAATTATAGTGATTGATTTTATGCAACTAATTAGAAATAATTAAGTTTTAGAATTAAAATTTAGTAATGTATTTAATTTATATTTGCCTTTATTCATAATTATTTTACAAGTATTAATAAGAAGTTTCATTTTGAAATATCATCAAAAAGTATTTGAGATAAATATTTTAAATTATTGATGTAGTAATTGTTCATTTGTTTTTTGATCAGTTATAACGAAGTAAAATGCATCCATGATTGATTATCCTAATCACTTTCTATCCATCATTGTGGATACGGAAATCTTTCGTTTGCTCGAAACTTGCTCATATTTACAACATATCAAAATGTATTGTAAAGCTTAATGGTTAAACTATGATATACTTTATCCAAATAATACAATGAAAACAAACGAACTTTCTATTCAGGCAGAAATGTATTTCTCATTTGAGTTAACACAGATGAAGATGAATAATTGAATTAAACAAAGTTTTGCTCTTAACTGAATTAAATTGAAATCAATCAAATTTCTGACTTGTTGAATTCGAAAAATTTCATCCTACCATCATGAATTAAAACTTTGTTAATCAATTATAAAACATTGTATAATTCTCAATCAAATTTTAAAATGAAATCATTCATTTGACAAATTAATCTTTTTATGTAACAAATTAATTATAAATCTACTTATTTAGATATTTGTTTAGATTTAGATATGTTTAGATATTTAGATATGAAGCAATATTTGCAGCAGAAAATTGTTGACATTGTCCGTTTTAATTAATTAAAAAAAAAAAAACGTCAAATGGTTTAAAATTTTTTCCCAAACAAAAATTTAAAATGAAATCATTCTTTTTCACTAATTAATTTCAACATTCTTAATTTAATATTTCACCTTTAATCTTTGACAAAAAAATATTTGTTTTAACATAAAAAATAATATAAGGTAAAATTTATATTTTCATTTAGCTATTTTTTTTTTTGAGTTATTTGACCTCATTAGTTACTTAATTTACATCCTTTTTTCTTTATTACATTAAGTTTACATTTAAGAAATCTCGGGAAAACCATGAGGTAAATGTATTTAACTTTTCATCTATATAAACGTTAAAAATAGACTTCTTCTTTTTACTCATATGAATTTTGAAAGAGATTTCGTTTCAGTGAAGTGTGTTGTATAGTGATATCAATTAATCAGTTTCAGAAACAAACCATTTTTTCTTTCCTCGTAAAATTCTGTGACATGCAAACGCATTGCGGCAAATGCATTACACACATGCATTAAGTGCATAAAAGTAGGAATGTTAACATTTCCAATTTCATCAAATAATCTTAGCTTCGAGTTACCACCGGGAATTACGATAGTGCAGGGCATTTTGCAAAATAGGAAATAATCATAATAATAGAAAAGAATAATGAAATTCCAAAGGAATGCATTTCAATTATTGAAAATGATTATTAGCATCAAATGAATCATCCTTTTTGCTTTAGCTTACTGTAATTTAATTTCTTTTTGCTTGGCTTACTGTATTTAGTTGTGATTTTTAGCAAAGAAAAAAGAAAAAATTTTGAACATTATTTCATAATGTAATTAATTATCAAATATTAAATAAATGCTATTATAACATTTAGCTATGAAATTTTTTTGACAGGTAAGTTAATTACATTCTCATAAATAAATGTAAGGTATTTCAAAATATACTGATAAAATAAATATTATTTGCATTATTAATGCTTTTTAATGTAATTTCATAGAAATTTGAATTAATTTTTTGCAAATAATTTAATATCAAAATGTTTCTAATTAATTCATAAATTTTTCAAACTATGAAAAATATAAAATGAATTTAAATTACTATTAATTCTTTTATTTTATATTATTTTTAAAATTTATTTCACACTTTCTTCCAATTGATAATAAACTTTAAAAAAAAACAATTTACTACATGAATTAATGTAAAATAAATTATTTTAAAATGAATAGGGATGTAATTTAATATATAATAAAATATATCTATCATGTAAAGGGAGAAAGAGAGAGAGAGAGAGAGAGAGAGAGGGAGAGAGAGAGAGAAATGAATATACAATTAAAAATTGCATATAAAATGTTAATTGCATTCATTAAAAGTATCAATTAATAAATATTGTTTGATAATTCGTTTGCAGTAAATTATGATATTTTTCATTAGAACTATTTCTGTGACAAAAAAAGGTGAAACAATCGAATTAATATCAAAATAAAATCTATCGTTAAATTTCTTTTCATTTTTTTGAATTTAATTTGTCTGACTGCAAATTTCATTGTGTGACTGCAAATTTGAATTTAATTTGCATGACTGCAAATTTTATTGTGCAAATTGCAAATTCGAGTTTAATTGTATGATTGCAAATTTCATTGTGTGATTGCAAATTTGAATTTAATTGTATGACTGCAAAAATTTGAAATTGGCTTCAAAAAAAAAAGGATGAATGCTTTTCAGATTAATTCAATAATTAGAGCTTTACATAATTAGCGCTTATTCCAATAATCAAAAAAAGAAGTGCTTCAAAAGAAATGATCCGGAAAATTTAATCATATGCTTAAAAAGCATTTACTTGTTGTTAAGTATTAAAATGAATTATTTTGTGATACAACAAGAGATTTTTTCGAAAACCAAAATGTACGGAGTTTTTTTTTCAAGTTGAAGATTTAATTGATTTTTAGAAATTTAATTTTCATCACAAGAATAGGTGTTGATTTAATATTTCTAATTAATAAAATCTTTTTGATCGTATACTAATTATCGTCTTTTTTCTTAATTATTCCCTGATGTAAGTATATAATTTACTGTTTAGAAATTTAATTTTCATCATAGGAATAGGTGGTGATACGTTGAGAAATATAAAATGTTGCAATTAAAAGTTAATTTCATTTATGAATATAATGTTTTTCATTTGATATGAAATAAAATGTATTTATCAAAAAATGAAAAGTTTAATCAAAGAAATATAATAAATTAACTGAGAAGTTCAATAGGATGAACTTTTGACCCCTTTGATTATAAGAATTTTAAACTTTTCATTTTTCGTAAACACAAAAGAATGGATTTAATATAGTATTATCATTATTCTTTTTTTCTTTATCTGTACGATGATTTCTTTTTTAAATTGATCGAATCAATCTATGAAAAATTAAATTTTTTAAAAATTCAATACTCCTAATTAATAAAATCTTTTTGATCGTATACTAATTATTGTTCTTTTCTTACTTTCTTTACCTCTCTTTAGTTTCATTTCTCTCTCTCTCTCTCGAAATGCTTTTTCCTTTTTCAGAATTTCATTTTGCATAATCTCTTACTAAAATGATAAAAAAAGATATTAAAGTAATCGTTTACAAAAAACCCCTTGTAAAAGGTGTTTAAGTACAAAGTAAACTTTATCCTCATATGTCCACCAACATTATCCACATATGTCCAACAATATTATCCTCATATGTTCATCAATATTATCCTCATGTATCAAGCAACATTATCCATTTATGTCTACTACCAACATTATCCTCATTTATATCCATTCAAACATTCAAAATCTTCTACATTCCAAACATATATACATTATGGAGCTAACTTTATCATACTGTTTCCATCAATTTTATCACTGTATGTCGAAGGATTTTTTTATGCTGATAAAAAGAAAGTTTGATCATTGCATAATAGATATATTGTTATCAATTCCAACAAAAACTATTATTTATCTAATCAAACAATCAATATTTCAAAATTTAACACTTCCTTATAAACAAATAAATCTAACACCAACTGTCCGATTTTAAATTTTAATTTAAAACCAATAACACAGTTGTTAATTTATTTATCATTTGATACACAGACACACACACACAGACACACACACACACACACACACACATAGATTACACACATACACTTAATAGATTAAGATTTCTTTTTTATCATATCACAAGTGAAAAGAAAGATACTTCTGTGAAACAAAGTATGATTCATCATAAAAGAAAAAGATTTTTTAATGCTTTCAGTTAAAATTTTAAATTTGACGTAGAAAAAAAAAGATGTTAAAAGTAAAAATAGTAAAGGAGAAGAGGAGAGCGAAAAGAGAATTACTGAAAAATATAGAAATGACAAATTTGATAAGGCTGAAAACAAACATTATTACTCATACAACAACGATATAAACTTTGGATATGATTGAAATTCTATGAATATAAAATTAACATTTGAAAAATGTTTACAGGTAATTTTCCACTAACAAAAATATTTATCAGTGATAAAGATAACAATTTTTTTTTTTTTTTAACAACTCTTTCTTAATTATCAAATTAAATATCACCAAAAGTATTCAGTAAAATAAAGTAAATCATTACATTTAATATTTGGTTGAAATATATTTTTTCAATTCATTTTCTCAAATATAACCTTTGTAATTAAGAGTTTGTAATTAAGAACCTTTGTAATTAAGATTGTCTTTTTTTTTTTTGTTAGAAATTAGCATAATACTCCTTCTGATATTAAATAATGCATTATATTATTTCATACTAATTAGATGAAATTTAGCTAATTGAACAATTTCAGATATTTATTTCAAAAAGAAAGAAAAGGTCATTCAAAATCAGTAATTATATTGTTCACAGATGTGTGATCGCCTACTGTACCATTTTTTTTTCAGGATGAAAATAAAGCTGGCAATTATTTAAAGCAATTTGATTTAACAAATAAAAAAGAAAAAACTTTTGCTTCCAATATTTTTACTTCATAATACTGTAATATATATTAATATATGAATTTTATTGTTATTGTTGTTGTTGTTGTTGTTGTTGTTGTTGTTGTTATTGTTGTTATTGTTGTTTTGTTTCGCTAATGAATGTGCAACATTTTTTTTTCAAAAAATCAAATTAACAACAATATGTCAAAATAAAATGATCGCTAATTAGTCTATCTTAATTAATTACGATAATTCTACCTATATAATTTTCTGCTATAAAAAAAAGCATTAAAACTTAATTAATGATAATTTCCAAAAAAAAATAAAAAATTCAAATTAATGATAATATTGGGAAAACAAAAGGAAAAAAAAATGTATGATATTCTGTTTGATTAAAATAATTGAAGAAATTTTATTAAATATAAATTTAATTATTCCTTAATTGGTTAGTACTTATCATTTCATTTAATCTTTTCATACTAATATTAAATTATCTTTTACAATTTAAAATTGATTAATTTTTGCAGCAAAAAAAAAAATTCTCATTTTAAACAATAATTGTTATCAACAAATTAACAGCAATACATTTTCTGATATCATTGCTCCCACAAATATCAACGTAAAAAATTTGTTAGAATAATTTTCTGATATCATTCATTCATTGCTTCACAAATATCAAGAGTTTTTAACATATGCTTTCTTTTGTTTTTTTGTTTTAAAGAAACAAAGAGAGAGAGAGAGAGAGGTAGTAGTATCGATAGAGAGAGAGAGAGAGAAGAGAGAAAATTTGTGTAATACAATGTATTAGTTAATATTTACGATTAGCTGCATGTAGCGATGTTTGAGGCAAATTTGCACTTTAATAGTAACGAACATTAACTGCAAATCATTCATCATATTTCAACACATTTCAATCTTAATCCTGTCAATTTATAAAAATTTTATTTTTATTATTAATCTTTGTTCAGGGAAATATTGTCAACAATATATATATATTGTTATACACATATATATATATATATACATATAACATGAAATTTAATATATAAATTATTTTAAATTGAAAAATAATGTGATAATTTGAAATAAGATAATATATATCTTAAGATTTATTAAATGTTTATCAAATGTTTTCATAGTAAATAAATAAAATAATTCTTTGTGTATGTGTATGTGTGTGTATGTGTGTGTGTGTGTGTGTGTGTATGTGTGTGTGTGTGTGTGTGTTTATATTTACAGTAATAAGATGAATTTATGGATATTTTTTTGGTTTATTTATCAGAGAATGTTAGAATATTTAGTGATAATGATAAAAGATAAAATAAAAAAAAAGAATAAAGATAAATAAATTAAGTATAAATATTTTAGATTATTATTATTATCATACTTTTTAAATGTAATCAAATTAATTTGGAAGGAAATTTTTCGTTGATTTTTTTTAAAAGATAAAATGATATATTTTATCAATAACAAAGTGAGAACATATCATCATCAATGATAAATGTGTGATGTCGTTTCTGTTTTTCTCTTTTCCTTCCTCTTTGCCAGATACTTTCTTTTTTTTTTTTTCTTCCTTTCTTTTATTTTATCAAATATAATATAAACTTAGTTTTTGATAAGTTGAAAACTATATATATATATATATATATATATTGTTTTTCCTTTCCGAGAGAAAAACAAAAGAAGAACTAATTGTTTAGAATTCCAAATTCTAAGCCTTATCATCTAAATAACTGATTATTTCAAATTTATTATATCACTAAATGGTAACAATGAAATTGAATTGATTAAATCAAAACTTTTTATTTTCCTACAATAATTTCAACAACAATAAGGATCAGCTGTATTGAACAAATTTAAAAAATATACTACTGTATCCATATCACTTTACAAATAAAATTGTCTAAAGCGAATAAATGAAAAAAAAACTTCTTACAACAGCTGACTGAAAGAATCACTACAATGTATGGTAATAAATGAAAAATCTAAATTAATGAATTTAAATTTTAAGAAAAAAAAAACGGAACTAAATTTTTGTAAAAATTATATTATTTATAATTATTGTAATGTTAACAAAAATTGTCCTAATTTTTCGATCATAACCTATAACCTATAACCTATTTCGATAACTGATAACCTATACATCGTCACATTTTGTGAAAACTATCATAAGAAAGAAATAATTTTTCATAAATGAAGGAAATTGAAGTGTAAAATTTCTAAACCTCTAAAAGCGATCAATCATTTTAATTTCTCAGAATTTCAGTAAGCTTAGAAAAAGATAATGCTTCTCTTATCCTAATATTTCACTCCAAAATCTCTACTTCCCTCTTATCAATTGCTTTAATTTGCAAACTTTGTCAAAATTTCTTCTTTGATTTATTGTCATCCCATTTTCACACTTAATTTCAAATATGGTGAAGGATGATATTTGTTGAAAATGTGATGATCATTCGTTAATTTTGATTGAATTTTAAGAAGTGAAAGTCAATAATTAATTGTGAAGTTCAATTAATTAACAAATTTAAAAATTTTGAATATTTTACTCCAAAAGCTATATCCACCTCTTATCAATTGTTTTAATTTTAATAAAAATTTTATGAAGATGTCTAAAGTATCGATCTTGTAATATTAAGCAGCTAATTAATTCTATTCTATGGAATTGTTTTAATAGATTTTAGAAAATCTGAAGGGATTTTCACTAAATTAAATTAGTAATAAAACCAAAACAAACCGATTGTTGTGAGAACCGTACCAGAATAGTACATAGCAGTTGTGAGTGACCACTCCGATCGATTACTAAATGAAACTCCAATTTGCCGATGTAAATAATCAATAGCTTTCTTCAACAAAATTTTTCTTTGTTGTGATGCTTCGACATGATATATTTCATCGAGTTGTTCGAGAAACAATTCTCTTTGACGAATATAAAATTTATATTCATGCAATTTTCGAGCTTGATCTGAGGCCCCTTCAAGCCAGAGGAATAGTAGTGCACCAAGGAACATATATATCATCATGAATGCCAATGAGAATAAATAATTGAGATGCAAATACTTGTAAGGCCTTTTGATCCATTTCAACCACGTATTGGATACCGGAGTTACTACGTTATCAGCATTTTTTGGTGCCCCATTATCAGGCATAACGGACGTTTCTCTGATGACTGACATCCATGGCGTATTTGAGCCCCTTTGCTTACCATCACCATCATTACAGCTCTGATGGGATGAAATAGAGTACGATCTGAGAACCACCTCTGAACGTGATGAAGCGACTGCCGTACGACCATCCACATTAGACGGTGTACATGATGAAGTGACTGTCGTACGACCATCTATATTAGACGATGAACGTGATGAAGTGACTGCCGTACGACCATCCACATTAGACGACGATAATTTATATTTGTTCGTTAGCAGAACTGACATGGTGTACTGTGCATGATATATTTACGCTCTATAGGAAGATCCTGCTGTTACGGAATAAAGGAAGCTAGAAAATGAATGATAAGCAGAATTAGAATGAGGACTGAGAAGTAATTCAGTGATAGGATGCGGTAAATCAGGGAGGTTCAAATGATACAGATCAGATGACACGATGGATGGGTGGCAATTGCATTGTTTTGGAGGAAGGAACAGGAAAAGCAAACATGAAGATAACGTAAACTGGAGAGCAAATGGTGGATGTAAGCCATCAATAAGAACACATAAAGCTCTGTTGATATTACCAAAGCTCCGGATTAGACTCAGAAGTATATGCTTGCTGTGCCTGTGCAATGAAAAAGCACTTGTTTGCACCTTTATTCTTCAAAAATCTTGGAAGTAGAAAGGAGTTAGTGATATCGTATGGCCATCATATAAACTCCTTTTCCATAATAGTAAAATTTTGAAACAATGACCGGTAATAAACAAAACAACACAAGAATCACTGACTTTTCGTCTCATTTCAATCGATTTTCGATGTAATCAGATGAAGGCCAATCGTGCGTTCGTCCTGAAACATGCTTCAATTATTCCCTGATGTAAGTATATAATTTACTGTCTGTTTAATACATTAAATTTTCATATTTCATACTTAAAGTCTTATCTTCCCCGAAAATTTTCGAATAATGAGAGCAAAGTTGACATAAGAGAAAACAGTCTGACTGATTTCAGAAATTTGACCAATGACTAGATCCTGCAGCGATAAAGATCGAGCAGAATATAAATCAAAATAGCCTAATCATCAAATCAAATTATTTTTAATCCAATTCACAATGCTTCCCAGAGTGGTGTATTAAATAGTATGCAAAACAATTAGTAGATTCTCTCACACTCTCTCACTGTTGAATGGCGCGAAACGATCTTCAGATACTAAACAGTATTACTGAAATACATAACGTTCTAAATCATTTGCTCCTAGAACCATTGAGGTCATCCAGTAATTCAATGAAATGATTGCGTCCAGATGTTTTTCATAAAAATGCTTTGAAAAAAAGCGCAGGATGATCTCAACTCTCTAACCAAGCTGGCTGAAACATGATCGACTAACAATCCAGAAATTGTCCGAAATAAATCCCATAATGAACCGACATTAAAGAACCATTTCTAGTTATCATGCGCCATGAGAATGAGAAAGGACATGATTTCATAATAGACCACAGTTAAAGATCAAAAATTTTTTTACAGGAATAGAAACTAAGAAAAAAAGTCCTAAGTGGTTAATATTAAGCAAATGATCATACAATAACTAAAAATGCCAGAACCACAAATTCCTTCTTCTCTTTCCAAAACGTTTAGTTCTAAAAGTAGAAAAGCAACTGTTAATGACGGTTCGGGAAGTGAAGTCTGTTAATAATGGAAGTTTTTTATCTTTCTCCATTTTTCTTTCTTAGCTTTTCCTTACTACTCATCTTACTCCCTCTTACAAAAAACCCCCTAACATGTTAAGTTATAACACCGAATTCAGCTGAAACAACAGTAATCATTATTAAATACCATTAGATTCAATGATATGTGCCACTTCAACCCTGTTCTCTCCGACTCACTACAATGCCTTCATTCCTTCATAATTATCACAATCTGAAATGAATTTGGCATCCAAAAAGAAACGAAACGGCTCCCACACTATGCCTTTCATTTAACTATGTACATTTCACAAATAATTCTCAATATTCTAAAACTGCTCGCATAAAATTTAATTTTAACGATCGCTTAACACAAGCCTTGAAATGACGAGAAACGTCATAACGCTTACTTAAAAAAGAAGACTTGAGAATTCCTTGTAACTACAATTCAAAATATGTATTAAAAACTTCGAATTCTTCTTCCTCCCTTTCATCTTTTTCTCGTTTTTTTTTTTTTTAAAAAAATGACAACTGAAAAATATATTAAATGACAATTTTTATCTGTCGATTGCTCGCAGTGAAAAAGTATATAATAAAGTCTAACTTCTGTACACTTTATATAGTAAATTTTCTCCCTTCAACACCCCGGAAACGGTAGCTGACAGATGCTGAATAAGGAATAACTATAAACTATACTATCGCATAACTAATCGCCAAATGGAACAAGTATTTTTTGTCATCATCAATTATGCTGCAGGAAAACCAGACTTAACAAAAATTGATTTTTTTATATATCATAACGAATGCTATTCGCTTTACCGCTTCAACAACAAAACCACACTGAAAGAAAATTTAAGATATTTGTGAAAAGAAAAAATCTATTTTTTAGGATAATAACTACCTTATATTCTCGTTAGAACAAACTGTTTATACTGCCATATAGATTTTTCCTTCAAAATGACAAAGAAAAGAAGGGCAAAAAGTGAAATCAAAGTTTTCACATTACATGAAACCCAAAAAATAGTCCTTATTAGATGTTAAACAAGAAACTGATTAGTAAAATTATTATACTATCTTCTCTTCCCGAAAACTTTTTCGACTGATACACTACCCACCGCAATGACTGTGCTAATCACAAAACTATCCTGATACAAATTCGGTTGTCCCCTAACGCTTTAATAAGAGTTGACAAGGCAGTAAATCAGCTTAATTAGACGGCAAAAAAGAAGGAAAAAATCGGTCAGTAACAACTTGAGCGCTTTCCTAAAAATCAGTAGCTAACCCCACTTAAAATATACGATGACAACTCTAAGACACATTATAAACACGTTATATTACATCTTAGAGATGGGAAAAAGAATATAGTTTTATAACATGATTTTATCCTATCGGTAATTTTGGAGATTTTAAAAATTTATGGATAAAACTTGAAATTAGCAATCCGTTAACTTGTGAGATTAATTCTCAATGAAATAAAATACCCAACATACATTACAATCTGCTTCTCAGTGACGAACCAAATCTATACAGTATGCTTTCACCAAAATTCGCCGATGAATTTCATTCAAGAATGAGTTACACATATACTACTTAGCAGAACAGGAACTACCAAAATAACAAAACAAGGAGAAGGTAAAACTAGGAGATGGAATTTCAGGAGTCAAGCGTCCAGAAAGAGATAAATGGACATTCACTCAAACATTTACTCATAGTTGTCTGCAAGCAGCGCTGTCGAGAAGCAAGATAAAAATTAATGAAAAGCTTGTTTTGTGTATTTCTAGAAGTTCTTATATAATTTTAAAGCAATCTTGTCGAGACAAACATCTATTACACTTACCAATGACGGTAAAAGCAATTGGTTTATTCCGGAAAATGCGTGATGATACTTCCTTCACTGTTTTTGCTGTGACTGCCTAGAAATTAAAATCTTCAGAATTTAAATTATACAAGCAAAATAAATTAAAAAAATTTAAGAATTACTCCACTGAAGTAATGCAGTATTATGGAAATGAAACAGTGCAAAATTGAAGTTGCTGGAAAAGTTGCGCTTCGTAAACATTAGAATAAATTGACACTTTTCCATTTATCATTACACTTCATAAACCATTAAAATGAAAAAATTGTTTACATTGATTCGTACTTCCAATTCGTGCATAGGTATTCGTCTTCCATAACATAACAACTGCCTGTAAGCAATACTATTTCACTTATTAATGGGAATGATGAAACAAAAAATTTTGTTCCAAATCTATATCATTCAATACTTCACTTTCTTTACTTTTATTGGAAAAATTTAAGATATGTATAACTTTATTTCAAACGTAAGATTATGAAAATAATCACCATCGTCCTAATCATAACCGCCATCGTCACCATAATCATTAACAACAACAACACTGCAGATAAATGATACGACAAACTGTCCCCTAATTAACGAAATGTTGACTCATTTCTTAGCAAAATACTTAAGAATATTGTTAATATTTGGGAAACAAAATGATTAAGATAAGTTGAAAAATATTTCAATTGAATATAAAATGAAATATTTCAAATACCTGAGAAAATTTTCAAAAGTTTGAAAGTAAAATCTATTGCCGTAAGCATTCTTTGAGTGTCGCTGACTAACAAATAAAAAGTGAATGAAAACAATATTATTCAATTTTGACAAAAGCTTGACAGGATTTTATCCTACTTAACAAAAAAGCTTGGAAAATTCTTCGACATTTTGACAACTGATGCATAAAATAGAGTTAACATCAATTCTATTAAATAAAATCACTCGACAGGCCCAAACAACTGCCTCTTAGATCTTGGCGTTGGTGTTCTCATACAACTGGACTTTCAAATCTATGCATACTTTTTTCCCCAAAAAAATTTTTTTTCGCTTCCAAAGAAGGAAAAATTTGAAGTTCATAATCAAATAGATGATGTACGAGAGAGATGATTTTAAAAAAATTTGAAATTAAAAGTAAATACAAGGAAAATGAAAGAATGAGAATTATCTGTTCGTTAGATAAATGTGATCTTATTAATATATCTTGAAGGGATGTTATCTCGTAATCTGCTATAAAAAGCTAAATCTAAGCAAAAAAATATATGAATTCATTGGTATATGTATGACATGAGAATGCAGGCCAGAAGCTAACGAATGAAGCAAATATAATAATCTTTTTTTGCAGAGAAAAAAGAAAAAACAAATTATCAGTGGAAAAGTACGATAAAACTTAAGAAGTGGAATTTAATGCTTGATAAACAACAATATACCAACAAATTTCTTATCATATCTACCAATCCCTACCCTAATCCGTTTAAGCCTTTTTTCCTAGCATGTTTGTTCAAATTGCCTTATCTTATGCATACGGGGAGAAAGCGCTTCCAGTTTCGTGAGAGTCATCTGAGTATAACCACTCACATCACCCTTCCTTAGTGCTTAGTGATATATTTTCGCTAATAAAAATGAGTCTGAAAATTCTAACTAAAGCCTTCCACCGAAATAATGAGATTCTATCTTGGAAGGCAATATTCCGACCAATTAAAAATATGAAAAATTCTAAAAGAGAGCAGAAATCATTCCTACAACTTCATACTGCTTTTTAACAAAGCATAAAATTAATACCTCCCAATATCTTCACAAATTGGTGTGGATCCATCGAGCATAAGAGACATATTTGTCAGTAATGATCGTTTTCCTCTTTCCACCTCTTCCTCAGTTATATTGTCACATAAGTCGATCCTTAAAGCAAAAGACGCAAGCTTTAGGATCAAACTTACAATAAAGTTCAAGAAATTGATTGCGTAGCAAAACCTATCTTAATCTATCCCCATTTTCTGATCATTTTAATTAAGAGAAAGCTTTAGGAAAATAAGAGTCGTACCATTGCTGCGTGATACTGTCAACAACAGCACGAGCTCCACTTTGTTCACATACGAAATAAACGCCGACTAGACCGGTATCTTTATAGCACGTATTAAAAGCTTGAAATGATTGAACCCGAGCATTTAAACCCAAACTTTGAGCCAAACGTGACGGCGCGTTGATTCCAACTGCATTTGTTCGATCCCATTGTCCAATCAACTAAAAACTAACAATTGTACAAATTTGAAAACTCCGCAGTTTAGAATTCCATGAAAACAAGCTTGATTATATTCACTTTCCGAAAAGTAGCTTACCGTGTTCGCAACCATCAAAGGAATATTATGAGGATGGGTCCATGAAGCTCCCTCAACGGCTAGTGCGCCAAACATCATCGACATCCTTTCATCCCGGATGTCCTGCTAAAATTGACCACTAGACAGCAAGCTTATCTCATAAGCATAAAGCTTATCTCATAACCTATTTGAATCATAATACTCCACTGGCGATAGCCAAAATTAACGACTACTCGACTTTGAACAAACATGGGAGACTAGCAAAACTTTATTAAAATGCTAAATTTGATTGAGCACGACATAACTAATTGTTGCTAGGGTGACATTCAAACCTTATATTTTCATTGTTGGCTATTGGTGTGTAACTTGAACTGGCTAAACCAATATTAAACTGTTTCTAAACAAAACCCATTTATTTATTTAAAAATTCAGGATTATTCATTGGATGATCGGTTGATACCTTTATACACATGAACAAGCCAATAATATCTCCACTGTGTACAATGAAAGAAAGGCAAAAATTTGATTCCTTTAACAAATATTACTTCAAAATTTAATGACTTGAATTGTAAGACTCCGCCTTTTCATTACTGATTCTTTAGTTCCTACCCATCACTATGGATATGTCTGGACTGAAGTACTTGTAAAGTACTAGCTGAGAATAAATGATTAATGATAAATGTTTAAATTGATATTTATGCTGCAAATTAATGTGTGAATTAAATCTGAAGTGAAATAAATTCTGTGAAGGTAAGTAGTGACTACAATCAAAAGAAGCCAAAATATCTCACATAGCTTGCGACAAACTTTCCAGATTCAGCTACGAAATTTTCATCAACGCCACCTAAATCGCCGAAGTACTGTTTGCCTAAGTTTACCAATTTTTGGTGATCAACACCGCCTGCAGCTGCTAGTACCATATGAGGTCCTCGGTAATGTTCATTTATGTACTTCACCAAATCTTCTCGTTGCAGTGACCTGAAATTATAACATAGTGCAATTACTTCCATGGTGCATACAACCTGTTACAACTTGTTTGAGAATTCAGTTGGGGAATCGTCGATTATATTAAACAAAGTGAGAGAATCACATAACTAGAATTTTGAGGCTTTTCAGATATGTAATCTTTTTTAACATCAAAATTGCTTAAAAGACGAGGATATCTTACTTGATATTTTCAACGGGCCCAAGTATTGTTCTTGCAAGTGAGGTACCCTCGAAGGCACCAGCGTGGAGATGATCGAACACAACTTCCTGCAAATTCTGCTCAACTTCTTGCATTTCACGCAATATCACACCACGTTCACGTTCGATTTCGACGCTTCTCAGCTGACTATTACGTAATATATCGGCAAGAATTTCCACAGCTGAAGTTTTTACTCATTGTTTTTAATGTAGGGATATTTTACTGCTGTTGAATGTATACCACAAAACACTGGCAACCTTAAACTGTATCGCTCATTTTCAAGGGCTATTATAGATGTTAGAGGATTTCTAAATTTAATGCAGTAAAATGTGCGAATTGTAGCAAATACCGCGATCTACATCCTGCGAAAAGCATTTTGCATAGTACACTGTTTGCTCTCGTGAAGTATATGCATTTAAATGTGCACCCATATTTTCCACTTCTAGTTCCAAAGCTGACTGTGAACGTTTTATTGTACCCTTCAATGAAATGCTATTTACAAAACAGAATGTGGAACTCTGTTGGAGAAGTTAGACCAAATTTATGTTTGGAACGACAAAAAGTTCGAAGATAAATTAAGCGAGAAGCATAACCTTAAAAGCCATGTGTTCCAGGAAATGAGCAACACCATTATTCTTGTCATTTTCAAATCGACTACCAGCATCGATCCACACACCTACCTGAAAGAACTATTATTCTTGGTAATATGAGACAGATTCTGCAATAACAGTCTATCCTCCTTCTCCTCAGAAGAAAACAGCACCAACTGCAAGCTATATTTGAAATACAACACATGGTTTAGAACATATTTGAAGTGGTATGAAATAATGTAAGTGCATATAGAAGTAGATATGAGAAGTATGTAATATATAAGCAAAAAGTTAAGGAGATTCAGTGGAGAAATAAGTAAGAAAGGAATGAAACAAAAGAAGAAATATAATTACGCGAGAGAAATAAGTAAGAAAGTTACTAGTGATGAAAGAAAAAAATTTTGTAAGTTGACACGCAACAGTTTGCACTGAAGTCCTGACGACAATTTAATAGAATTATAATTTCAGTGATCAGGAATGTACAAACCGTAGTAGTGAGAAGTTGTGAGTCTTCAGTAGCAATCCGGAAACCATTACTTAATGAAGTTATCTGTGTTTCCGGTATATTCAAATAGACTGGCAATGAAGTTGCAGCAGAGTTATAAAAACGAGGCTGCAAAAATACTTATAAAATTACAAAATCATGACCACAAAATAATCAAAATCACCTAAAATTTGTCAAATTATGATAAAAAATTGAGAAACAGCAACAAAAATACTTACAAGGGGTCTTTGTTGTAAGCAAACGACAAAATGGTTCAAGAACTGGGAAAGACCGCCACGCCGCAATACTCCTCTTAATACACATATAGAGGGGCGCATTAAATTGAGAGGATTCTATCTACCTGTAACTGCTATAAATATGAGAGAACTCCATAACTTCATCCTGAACTCTATAATTTAATACGATTAAAACCGGGAAAATGACACCGAAACGCTTCCCGACATTGTATCAACAGAAAATAACGGAAATCCAGCGCTACAAACGCGTCTCACGTATTTAACAAGAGACAATTGCTAACATGTTCGTAAGTTTTTGATAATGTAGAAGTAAAGTTAAAATAAGCGTTGTGTTTGATAAGAGGTGATATTTTCTCTGTGCTTTACAGAAGGATGTAAAATCTAATGGAATATGATAGAGAAATGCATAATGATAAAGATAATTTAGCTGAACGACGAAAATACGGAAAATAGTAACGTGATCCAAATATTCATGATGGATTTTGACGAAATAATCTCACTCATATCTCAGTTGAAAACCTTATAAAACCATTTCACGAGAATGATAAATTGCAACGTTATAAATTTAACGGGAAGAGATTTTTTTGGAAGTTCTACAGGTTGAAAATATTTTTACTGATTTAACCGGTTAATCGATACTCCGAATTTAAAAGTTCCGTACATAGCTCTGAAAATTTGTGTTTTTATTAGAATGCTTTGAGCTCGTACTGGTCAGTGAAATTAATAAAACATGAGATAATTAATAAAACAAGTAAGTAAATTAACAAATAATGCAGTAGAAATAATAAAAAGTTGAGAAAATAAATTCATTAAAGAGCAATTATCACAATCAATCATACTGTACTAATTATTACATTAATTAATTTTGGCTCACGTAAATATCTGCCCTTCCTCTGTTCTTGCTTCATCCAACTATACTGCGCATAAAATGTTGTATCGTCGTATTGAAACGCTAAAGAAATAAATGAAAATTTCTGGAATTATTTTAAAATCAAAGGTATACATTCTATAAATAACCTTCTTCCTTATTACTGA